TTTGTAAATAAATCTTTAAATGTTAATTTTTGATGATATTGAAAACGTTGTTTCATTACATCCATTGGACACCAAAATAATCCACCAAATATATCTGCTATTAATCCACTTGTTAAATATGTTAAATTATCATTATTTAAAATTGGTAATAAATATTCTTTAGATTTTTCATATGAAACAAAATATGATGCATGTGCTGGTATGGTAAATATTGATACAACTGAAAATCCTCTATATAATGATCTTAATGAATATTTAAATGTACTTGTATTTAATGAAGATGAATTAATACTACCATTTAAAGAAGTAGCAGTGTTAGTGGCAGCACGTAAAATAGTATTAGTACGTATAGTATCAATTGGATGTACAACTGCATCACTAAATAATCCTGCAAGTGCTCCTACAAGCATGAATTTAAATGTTCCATTAGAAGTAGAAGATGATGATGATGTTATTGTTGAGGTGTTATTATCAATGGATTGAATAGCTGTTTCTTCATTCATTTTTTTTTCAACAAGAAAATTGATTGAATTTTAATAGAAATAGGATGATGCTGATATATTTCCATTCATCTCATTAATACAAAAATAATAACAATATATTATCAATTATTATAAAGATATCATTGATAGCAATAACAATCATCTTTTATACAACACATTGTCATCAAATTAATAATAAAATTTTAAAATTTTAAAATATTAAATATATAATAATATTTTTTATTAAAAAAAAATGTCATCAACTTTAGCCTCTTCACAACGATCATCATCAGGTTCATCAGCAGTAGCCTCTTCAGATTTTGATGCCAATTCGGGTAGTATTATTACAGTTATTAAAACATTGTTTGAAAATTATTCTAAACGTACATCACAAAGAGTTAAAATAGTTGATCAATATATATTATTATGTGTATTAGTAGCAGTTGTACAATTTGTTTATTGTCAAATTGTTGGTACATTTCCATTTAATGCAATGTTAGCTGGCTTCTTTACTTGTATTTGTTCAATGGTATTTGCTGTTTCTTTAAGAAAACAATTAAATCCTGACACTGCAAAGGAATTTAAAACTATTGTTTTAGAAAAGAGTATTGCTGATTTTGTTATCATTTCTATTTTATTGTTCTTTGTTGCTGTTAGTTATTTAGGTTAAATATTATTACAAACAATATTAGAAGAAGAAGTAAATGTGTTAATTGATATTATTATTATAATTCTTATTTTAATTTGTGTAATGATGATGATATTAACTGCACTGATGATCTTTTCATTCAATAAAAAACGATATTGAGAATAAGTATTTTGATGTAAGGTTACCTTAATTTCAGTCTTGCTAAAAAGTTATAGGTACTAATGTATATCATCAACTCATATTATGGAAAATTTTTAGCCCATTTGCTGTTAAACTACAACATTTTTCAATTGTAGCATTATGTTACCATGTACGTCTTACACAGTTTACGTACGCAACCGTATTATAGTAGTTTGTACTGCAAATATATCCTAAGTGTACAGTGAAACTGTGTGCAACATAGTTTCTAGAGAAAAACATAACTGATTGTGTAGTGAGCATTTGTCATTTCAAGATATTTCTTCACAGAATATCTATGGTCAGGATCTCGACATATTTGATGCTCAAATAACACCGGTTTGGTTCAGTAAGCGTATTCACTCAACTTCAAAAAGCATATGTTGGTGTGATTATTCGTTATGTTAAATCATACCAAGCTTGTTACGGGTTTTACCGTTTAACAAAACAGAATAGTGTAAGTAGTATAATGTTTGAATTTCACTAAGTATTACATTGTACTCGTCTCCTACTTCTTCAATTTGTCAATTTACCCACTGCAAGGGCTAATGCAGGAGCTTGTGTGCATATTCATTTGAGCTCATTCCTCTCTAGTGTAAGTCTATTTCATGATTGTATTGTGTATGTGTACAAGTGAAAACTCACAACAAGGATTGGAAACTTGAAATGGAATATCGTGCTCAAGTAAGTGATAGAAATACAGGAGATATAATTTCATACTTTCAGTTACAACTCCATGAGAACGTTTCGAATGAATGGAAAGTGGCAGCCAACGTGAATGACAACTACGGTACCATTATTCTCCAAACAATGAGCTGAAACCACAGTATCTAATTCTGTGAATTTTGTAAACTCTGGAATTACCATAACAGTGTTCCTCAAAGAAAACTTCCCACATAATGGAGAGTTTACACATCAACCTTGGTGGTATAGGATCACTTTCAATCATTTCTGGAGGCCATGTA